ATATAAATAGTTGATGTACAATATTTTTTGTGCCCAAAGATATATATTGTAACAATGTCGAATGTTGTGATTGGCTAAGAGCAGAAAAATTGCGTTCTCTGACCTTTATAATTTGTGTTGTGAACTTGTAATTAAGTTTACTAATTATCTTTCTCTGTAGTGATGCTTTAACATTCATTTGACCAGAAGTTTAAAGCTTATAGTATATTCTAGTGACAATAAATAAGATATTCTTATTTTAAATACGTTGGTAAAATCACAAGCCAATGTCGTAATATGAATTGCTTTACTTATCTTCAGCTTTTGACTTTCCACTAGCCCTAGTAAACTTTTGCGATATAAAATTAGGGCTTTACATAGAAGAACATGTGGGGAACAGTTTGCTATGTGTGGTTAGGCTCGTTTAAAACTCAAGACGCCGATGCTGGCACGTGGTGGTGGAGCCGAGCGATGCGTCGCCGCAAAGTAGCGATGGTCGGCACGTGATAAAAGGATGCTATAGGTTTAGTTAATTAACGATGATCTATCTTTAAAAAAAAATTGTAGGAAACGCAGGAATATTCGACATGTTCGATGAGTTCCATGTCTGTGACATTTAGTTCTAAGGTTAGGTCTGAATCGTACCTACGAATGTTTACATGTGCATTGATGTTCGAACATAAACTATAATTTGCATGTTCTTATATCATTTGTCACTGTATTCTTTCAGAGATTTTTTTCTCTACAAATTTAACGGTGTGTGTCTTAATTAAAGAAGACATACCTACCTACCACATACATGGCCTGATTATGATCAATACATCTAACCATGTATAGTTGCATTTTTATCTAGTAGGCAGGTAGCCATTACTTAAACTTATACGATAGTCAAATATATTAACTGTTTAAATCATACTCCTACATAGGGGTGGGCACGGATCGGATATCCGGGTTTTTTAAGGTATTTGTGATTTGATTCGAATGTTACGGATATCTAATTTTGGTATTTGCTTTGCTTCGAAAAAATACGGATATCCGGAAAAACGGATATCCGGAAAATAAATAGATATTTGCGGATATTTACGAATATTTACGGATATCTCACCCATTTTGATTAATACANCATATATTTATATATTTACGGATCGGATCGGATATCCGCTTCCCAAAATTTTAATATTTGTGATTTGCTTCGATTTTAACGGATATTGAATTTTAGTATTTGCTTTGATTCGAAAGTTTACGGATATCCGGAATTTTCGGATCGAATCGAAACGAATAACGAATCGAATCAAATATAACGAATAAAATGCCCAGCCCTACTCCTACATATGTATAACCCTACTAGGGTTATAGATATAAAGATAGTTCTCTTCTCCGCTTTTACAAGTTCCAAGTGTTAAAACGCATGAGTTTGGGCTCCAGAATCGAAGTACTTTCTAGAATTAAAAACGTAAAGTTAGCATGTCAGTGATGTCTAATTGAAGTTACCTTTTCAGTTCATTGGATTTTGGAACTACAAACACCTCATTCTAGGTGCTATTTATAAATCCTCCTTTCATTTAAAAAAATATATTATTCACCCAACGACAAAACTTTGGGGAAACCTATAACATGTTTCATTTGAAGAAGTCTCGAATCTGCATGTTGCCATTGTACCTTTTTCTTTTCATCTTTTGGATATAGATGAGTAGAGTAGATAACAACGTAGTTGTTCGATACAATCTTCGTTCACGAGCCTTGCTGATTCTCAACTTTTTAGAAAGTAGTTGAAAAATTTAAAAGTGGCCACACTATATAGCTTCCACCTGTTTGCCTCTATATAATAAATATTGATATATGCAATACAACTACAATTATGTTAACATAGTAATAAACAATATATACAGAAGATGCCATTGGTGATGTGACTTGTATCTTCTAACGTTCTTTTGTATAAATACGATGCAACAGAAGCTTTGTTTTTCGGGACCATCCTAATGTTTCACTTGAAATGTGATTTTGGTCCCAAAAGTTGTAAGTTCTTCAGCGATGCCGTTCACGTACGTACACACAGATAAACAAGATTTGACGAGAATTTATGAAGAAGATATATTAGATGACTAATACGTTGTGAAGTGAAACTACAATTGCATGTGAAAAAGTGGCATATTTGATCAGTTTGGGTATTTATAGATCGGTTCAAAGCATAGATAAAATTAAATGTTCAGGTGTCTAGAAATTAAATTTGGTAATTTCCCGAATATCAGTGTGCGTATTTAAATTCATGTATCATTGTATACAATAACATACGCATACACACATCATGTAGCTAGTGATGCTGATATACCTTTTTGAATAAAATAAATGTCTGATGTCTCATGAGTCTTGCGAAAGACACGTGATAACGCCTCTCTCGGACCAACTAGATTACTAATTTCCAAAGTATATAAATCGGTGGTCCATACCGTCTTCCATTTATTATTTTGTCCGAATCCTATGCTTTATATACACATTCAATTCATAGGAAATGTTATAAACAATTTTTTTTATTATCTAAATCGAATTAAGAACTAATTCTTAGATCTGTAGAGTATATGATATGCAGATAGTTATGACTAGTTCACTTTGAATGCAAGTAATTAAACAGATGTAATCATATTTGGGTTATAAGCAGTGTTCCACGAAATTACTTGTTCCCTTATTTGATTTTATGAAAAGTAACAAAAGCAACTTTAATGATCATATTATATATACGCCAACATATTTTCTTTTTGATGATCGTCTAGAGTCTCAATGTGCTCACGTGATCGTGACGTTGACCGTCGTACCATAATAGTTATCGTCCGGAGGTTTTAGTTGTCGTGTTTGATTTCTTGCTTTTCCTCTATAGATAGTTTTTTTGGATTAAAGAATAAAGCTCTGATTAATTACAGTTCTGGCGTCAAAACTCTCACTAATTCTATTTTCATAGTGGAATATTATTTGAGATATAAACAATATCACTAGTTTATTCATTACTATCATTTATAGTAATATTCTTTTCCGCCATATATATAGGAAAACAAACTTCCGACTGTACGTTACTTTCAGACAGCAGTTTGTTTCCTTACAATCATTTAAGTGATGACATTAATCAAAGAGAATCGATGAGAGAAACAAAAAAAACTTCGGTGGTTGTAACTTGTTGTAAGTACTAATAAGTAGGAATCTTAGATATGGTCAAACTTGAAAGGAAATTATGATCATAATAATAACAATATTTACTTTGAATTTTTAAACTTCAAAACAAGATTTGACTAGGTTGGGTGGACATCTCTTCCCTTTAACAATCTCTTATGAAAAACTAGCTAGTTATACATTCAATCCAAATTATCTAAAATGTAAATTATTGTCACGAACTAATCTATCTTATTAAAGTAGAAGTACTTTAACCTTTTGTTTGGTAACATGGATAGCAGTATTTAAAATAAGTAAGTTTGGAAACATAGATATCAATATTTAATAAGATCTGGTATTTATTGTTACAAAGATTTGCTATTTATTTAAAATCGTAAATATAATTAATTTTAGTCACTAACAATATTTAAGAATATTCGTTTTTAACAATAATTCGGGTCGGATTACGGGTCGGATTTCTGGGTATTTTTATTTTGGTTTGAATTTCGGGTCGAATTTTTTGGTTCGAAAAATTGAACCGGACACAAATAAATTTATATAGATAAACAAACAGTTTCTATGTTTCTAGAACTAAAAAAACTAAGAACGTAAAGAACCTAATAAAAGCTGAACCGAAAATCACAACCCAGTCCTATTATATTCAATATGATAGTTCACATACAACGTGGATCACANAAAAAACTAAGAACGTAAAGAACCTAATAAAAGCTGAACCGAAAATCACAACCCAGTCCTATTATATTCAATATGATAGTTCACATACAACGTGGATCACAATATCTTAAACACAGTAATAATCGATGAGTTCTGAATTTATTACATTTTCTCAAATTAAGTTAAACCCGCGCCGGTGCGCGGGTCAAGATCTAGTTTACCTTTAAAACATGTCACCTATCACGGTTTTTGGAATTACATTTTAGAGCTTATACCACACAAAAAGAACTACATTTTTAGATTGAGTTAGTTTTCTTTAAACCAGTGGATCATTTTTTTTGTTTGAGCCAAGTTTTCAGTTAAATCCATATAGATGAATACAATATCTTGATAACATAAAAACATTAAGCTGAGCAAAAAGGACACTTCAGTCGTTTACAACACAATCAAGATTATAGATAAATTCTGCAGCTAGAGAAAACCACAATCAGTCACAATAAGAGTACTTAAATTGCAAAAACTTTAATGGGTCTCAATCATTAATATAAATAGAAGTAATAATCAAAAATAGCTTATCTCAAATTTGAATAACCCAACCCAAAATGAGATATTTTTAGGTTGAGTTTATCAAGTTTGAGATATCCACCTTATACGTCAAATATGGGTGATCAAAGCACATTCAAGGAATGGTAGCTTAAAAGGAATACATGAATAAGGACTTAAGGAGATTAACACTTACCACATATCAAAGTTCAATTTAGCCGAGACAATAAGAGACCAAGAAAGATACATCACAGAAGTTTAAAGGCAGTAAAAGAAGATTAGAATCAAGTAGACATTAAATGAACAAAGAAGCAACCTCAACCTCACTGGCAACCAACAATGACAAATGAGATAAGAGCCAGCAATGGATCTTCCCAAGCACACAAATAGTTAAAATCAAACAAATAACCAGATCATATTACTAAGAAAAAAAAACAAGGATAACAACTTAAATGCCAACGACTAGTTTTTAAACACAGAAAAATACAAGCCGCATTATTTGATTCCAGTAGCAAAAATTCAGAACCATTTTATTTGAATTTTTATCTATTTTAAATATATATATTTTTAATATTCCATTGCATGCTTCTTCTCCTACAAACGGACACTTCTTTATTGGCTTTGTTCCTACCATACCTATCTCTGTTCGTGTCTGCAACAGATCTGTCTCCATTTCTCTCTCTACTTTAAAAAAACACCACAAGAAAACCCTCTACACGAAACAGAGACTCTGCCCTTCTCTCTCTCTCTCTCTCTCCTCGCCTCTGCCAAAAAGCCATCGTTATCTTACAGAACCACATCAGTCTACTCTGAATCTCTGCATGTGAAAGTTTGGTCAAGAAAGAGGCGAGATCTGTGATTACTTTTATTACTCTCCCGTCTCTCTCTCTCTTTTATTTCTCTTGTCCCTGTGACTGATGAAAGTCACTCACTTCGATGCCCACTTGCCTCCCCTGTTTCCACTCTCTCTCTCTCTAGAAACAGAGTTCTCATCTTCACTCCACTCTGAGCACAAAGTTTGTTCCTTTAAGCTTCTCCTTTAACTCAAAGCTTCAAAGTTTCCATCTTTTCCCCATTTGGCTTCCCAATTCCCCGATTTGGAAACTTCTGAGATTCATGAATTTAAAGCTGTAATCTTTACAAGTTGAGAAGATTTGGTTCACAAAGATGAGATACGATTCGATTTGGTTTCTGTAAATGACGACGACGACGACAACAACGACGAGAGTTGCTTCCTCTTCCTCTACTCGGAACCGAATCCTGAAAGACGCAAATGGAGACATCGGTGAGCATCTTCGTAACCACATCCATTTAACAAACTGTATCCACTTGAAGAACCATATGCATCATAAACAGAGTCCTGTCCTAACCGACCGTGCCTTGATGAGAGACCTCATTGTCCTCCAAAGGTCACGTTCCCTCAGAGATCCTTCCGCTAGCCCTCCTCCTGCTTGGAACACGCCTCCTTCGATTGTGGACTTGCTTCCTAAGAAAGGAGAGGAGAAGAGTAAGTCTAAGTCTAGTCGTAGGTTGTCTGGTTTGAGTGGGTCTTCACCCGTTGTGAACTTTGGGACTTGTAGAGTGACTCCTAGTGATGAAGTTGGGGGTAGAGAGAGTAGTGGTAGGAGGGTGAAGAGAGAGGAGTCTAGTAGAAAGAGTTATAGAGTTGAGGAGGAGGAGACTCATTCAGGTTCTAAAGCTAGTGGCAGGCTTAGTAGAATTAATGATGCTATTGCTAAGACACTATCTGAGGATGTTGTTGGTGATAGTGATGATGTTGTTTCATCTAATGTTCGTCCAAGGGTTAGATATGGTGGTGGTGGTGGTGGAATGAGTCGGACTAAGAGACGGAAGTTTAGAGGGACTAGGAGAGCTCGAGGTAAGAGTATAGATAGAGAGAGAGATACTGGTGGTGGGAAGAGTGAGATGTCTGTTGCTTCTAACTCGGTTCCTCAAGGTGAGAAGCATGACAAAGAAGGTATTGGGGAACAGAACATGACTAAGGCTTGTGGGATTCCGTTTAACTGGTCTAGAATCCATCACCGAGGGAAGACATTTCTTGATAAAGCGGGTAGGAGTTTGTCTTGTGGTATGTCTGATTCAAAAGGAAGAAGAGGTGAGTCCAATGAGAGGAATGGTTCTGATATGATGATGATGAGACAACAACCTGAGGATGATGATTCGAGCTCTTTTATCTGCTCTGATGGCGGCGAGGCTCTTCCTTTGCTAGTTGATAGTGGAGAGAATGAAGGTTGGGTGCATGATTACTCAGGAGAGTTAGGGATCTTTGCAGACAATTTGCTTAAGAATGAAGAAGATTCTGATCTTGCTTCAGAAGCAAGGTCAGGAGAGAAGAAACACAAGAAGAAGAGTCATCGTCATCAGCATCAGCATCAGCATCAGCATCAGAGTCTTACTGAGAGATACACGCCTAAAACATTCAGGGATCTTGTAGGACAGAACCTGGTTGTACAAGCTCTTTCCAACGCAGTTGCAAGAAGGAAGCTTGGACTATTATATGTCTTTCACGGTCCAAATGGAACGGGGAAGACCTCTTGCGCTAGGATATTCGCAAGGGCTCTGAACTGTCACTCTTCAGAACAAACAAAGCCTTGTGGTGCTTGCGGCTCATGTGTCTCACACGAAATGGGTAAAAGCTGGAACATTCGAGAAGTTGGTCCTGTAGGGAACTTCGACTTTGAGAATTTGCTTGACGGTCACAATGTGATGAGTTCATCGCAGTCCCCTCGTGTTTTCATATTTGATGATTGTGATACTTTGTCAGCTGATTGCTGGAGTACTCTCTCCAAAGTGGTGGACAGAGCAGCGCCACGACGTGTTGTCTTTATCCTCGTGTGTTCTAGTCTTGATGTTTTGCCTCATGTGATCATCTCGAGATGCCAGAAGTTCTTTTTCCCGAAGCTCAAAGACGCAGATATCGTCTACTCCCTGCAATGGATTGCTTCAAAGGAAGAGATTGAGATAGAGAAAGATGCTTTGAAGCTTATTGCTTCGAGATCAGATGGTTCTTTAAGAGATGCTGAGATGACTCTTGAACAGCTGAGTTTGTTAGGACAGAGAATCTCTGTTCCTTTAGTTCAAGAACTGGTAAGCATTGACAAAGTAAGAACTTTCATTTTTATATATATACTTCCATTTCACATTTGTTTCTTGTTTTTGCAGGTTGGGCTTGTTTCTGATGAGAAGTTAGTGGACCTTCTTGATTTAGCTTTATCTGCAGATACTGTAAACACTGTGAAGAACTTGAGAACCATCATGGAAACAAGTGTAGAACCATTGGCTTTAATGTCACAGCTTGCTACTGTCATAACAGACATTCTCGCGGGTAGCTATGATCTAACCAAAGATCAGCATAGAAGAAAGTTTTTTCGACGGCAGCCATGTGAGTTTCAGACATTTTACAATAGCTTTCTTTTGATATTTGTTTACTGATCCAATTTGTTTACCATTTTTAGTATCTAAAGAAGATATGGAGAAGCTGAGACAAGCTCTAAAGACTCTATCTGAGGCAGAGAAGCAGCTGAGAGTATCAAACGATAAGCTGACTTGGCTCACAGCAGCGTTGCTTCAGCTAGCTCCTGACCAGAACTATCTGCTTCATCGTTCTTCTACTGCGGACACTAGCGTTAACCGAACACCGTTGCCGTTAGAGAACAATGGGGGTAGAGAAAGCTCAGATCACCATCTGGATCCTTCTAGCGATGCAGCAGCAGGGGAAAGAAGCTCTGGATTAGACAGGAAAAGAGGAGACAGTAGAAAAAACCGACCAGCTGTTGAAGAGATTTGGTTGGAAGTTATTGAGAAGCTTCGAGTTAATGGTTTGAGAGAGTTTCTTTATAAAGAAGGAAGAATCGTCTCTCTTAGTCTCGGTTCAGGTAAATGCATTTTGAATCTTTTGACTTTTGAAGCCAAATCTTGATTAGATTTTGATTCATTTTCTTGGTGTTGGTTGCAGCTCCTACGGTGCACTTAATGTTCAGCTCACCGTTAACAAAATCAACAGCTGAGAAGTTCCGTAGCCATATAATGCAAGCGTTTGAGGCGGTTCTTGAGTCTCCGGTAACTATAGAGATCAGATGCGAGACAAAGAGAGACTCAAGAAACAATGGAAGCGGGAGAAGTGAGATAGTTGAAGTCATTGAATCTAATGGACAAAGAAGGCGTCAACAACAGAAGCAAGAGGAGGAGGAAAGGACAGAGAGAGTTGGTTCTTCTGCGTTGGCTAGAGCTAGAAGGAAACATATGGAAGCAAGTCAGAGTCAGAACCAGAGCCAAAGCATTGTGAGAGGGAAGGTCTCATTGGCTCATGTGATTCAGCAGGCTGATGGATGTACACTCCAAAACAGCTGGTCTAAACGCAAAGCCATGTCTATAGCCGAGAAGCTGGAACAAGAAAATCTGTAAGGAATCTCAAAAACACTACTCAATCAAACAGATAAGATCACTTGGTTAACAATGTATATCATTCTTTGTTTTTTCTTACAGGAGGCTTGAAGCTAGATCAAGAAGTTTGTTATGCTGGAAAACCCCAAGAGGCACACGTCGAAAGGTAGCTACACTCTTTTATCTTCTTGTAGAAATTAAAAACTTTGTTTTGTTATGGTTAACTGAAAAAGATTTGAAAACGTAGGCAACGAGGTTGAAGGTGAGAGCAAGAAGGACAAGACCACGGGCGTTACTGAAACTCGTGTCGTGTGGGAAATGTCTGACGACGAGATCTCCATCAAGATAAAAGGTGTTTTGTTGTTTTGTTGACCATACGCAAATTTGTACTCTAGTCATCATAGTCAGTTGTAGCTTCTTTGCAATTGTAATAGTTCTGGATCTTCATGTTCTTCTTACCACAAAAAGAATAAAATGGATTAGATTTTTGTAAGTCTATTCTTTAAGAGTTGTAATGAAATGGTGGAGATGGTTTCATTCGCATAAAAACTGCAGGGCTTAAGACCATTTGGTTCTTACAAGAAAACAAGGCAGGTGTCAAAAGACATTCATATGTGTTGCAAACGATACTTTAGTTCTTTTACTTGCACTCTGCAACCAAATCTTCTTTATCCACTGTGAGCTTCTTAATTTCATCTATTAAATCCTCCTTTGGAGAGAAGAGAAGTATGGTCTTGGAATGTTCTTCATAAGCCGAGGTTGGCCTCTCACAAAATTAACATTTGCATATTCGTTATTTATCTTAGTCCAACAATTTTCTAGTCAAAAAAAATGTAGGATGATTTGTCAAACCCTATTATTTGACAATCAGAAATGATTTGACATTCAAAATAACTTTTTTAAAAAGACATACAAATTCAAACTTACAAAGAGGCAAACTATGAGTGGCAACCATGCTGTAAAGTGATGATAAAAGTAAATTAATTTACATCTACTCTTCTTTATCAAAACACAACAGGTTCGTTTGGCTATCACCAAGTTTGAATTTGTCGTGAAATAATGTTTGTTCTTCTTGATGATAAGGCCAGTCTCCAAAAAAATATAAAAGATAATGGGATAAATATATGTTGCTTTTAACAGAAAATAGTTATTATACTTTATTGTTTCCGTGAGGAAAATAATAAACACTGAAGGGGGTATTATTCTGTTCTGCTTTATTTCAGATGGGAAAGTAGAAGAGCCTGAAATTGGTAAATTTGCTAATGCTTCAATACCAAGTCTTTACAATATAAGAGTGACACAAAACTTATGCAAATAATAAAAACAAACACCTTCTCTATCCCCATTTAGACATTTAGAACACTATATTGAAGAATCAAATAAAAATCATGAACAAGTTGGTGGTGGATGACACAAACCATACCTCAAGGTAGGTGGATATCCATATGGAGAGATTTTAGCTCTTCTTCTAAATCAGGATAACATCAATTTCACAAAATTTCTTAACTTTCAGTATAACGCTAAATCCATCAGCTTTACCTTCTTCATGATTAAAATATCTCTTAGTCTAGGACCAGGAGAGACCGGGGACCGATACCAATCATATTGTTATAGACTTTATAGTCATGTAAATGTAACGATTGCAAAAGCAATAGATTCTATGAGCCAAGACCTCAGTGTTAAGACAGCTACTACAAACTAAAAGATGGGATGATTCTTGTGGTTCTTGGGTCTGTCACGTTAGAAAAAAAGAAGAGAGAGTCTAAGTCTTTGTCATCAATGGGGTTTGGTTTTGGATTGATAAAGCTGGTCCCCTACTTCGGTATAAATTCAAGAACATACCCAGAGATTACAAAACCAATAAAACAAAAAGTTTTTCTTAGGCCAAAAGTGGTCACATGATTCTTCAGGCGGCTTTGGTTCTTTTTTTTTCAAACTGCAACTAGTTTTTACCCGTTAATACAACATCTTCTATCTCTATATTAAACACAACGACCTAACGATATTACAACAGTAAGCTCTACATACCTACCTTACATCTTCTATCATATTGTTTTATAGTCTATCCTGAGAAAACCAGAGTAGAAAAAGAAAGCACAAAACTTTTTCAGATTCTTTGGAATGATGAGATGGGGAAGAAATAAACCTCTTTCTTCTTCTTCTTGGTTTTCAAAGTTGAGGGGTTCGCCTGACTTGAAACCTGCAAAAGAGAAGAAACAAGATGATGGTGAAGCTAGACATAACATGTCTGCAAAAGAGAAGAAACAAGATGATGATGAAGCTAGCCATAACCTGTCTGCAAAAGCTTCCTTGAGTTCTACTACTAAACGTCGAAATGATATCCATGAGAGAAGCAAAAGCTTTCAGAGAGCATCAGTAGAAAAAGAGAACGCTGCGTCAAGGTCAGCAGATATGGAGTCAAAGGAGAAGTTTGAAGAGATAATGAGCAGTGTGCGGAAGAAAGTAAGAGACTTCCAAAGAGAGATGCGTAGCTTTCTGAAAGTTCGGGCATTGGACAGAGACAAAGAAACTGTGATCATGACGCCAAGAACTCGGCTGAACAGAGAGAAGCATAGATGTGAGAGACGTGACCATAGGCTTCTCGAACAAAAGCCAAAGAGATCAGAACAAGAGGCAGAGGTCAAGACCAAAAAACCCAGAAGAAGGACAGGTACATGGAGTTTCAGCAGAGAAGATTCTGTAACTCTTGGTCATACCGAATCAAAACCGGCTCATCAGTGGCAAAAGCTCAAGGAAATAAAACTAAGAGAATTAAAGCTGAAGGCTGACCAACAGAGGAAATCTCTGTACCTAAGAAGGGAGCTAAACGGATTAGGAACAAAAGAAAGCAACAAGGTAAGAGTCTTTTCACCAAGAGCATCTGAAAAATGCAGAGTTAAAGCTATTGAAGACTTGAAGAAGTCTAAACTTAGAGCACGGGAGCAGCAGGAGCTTGTCATGGAAGCAGCAGATGAACGAAGGGAGAACAAAAGCGTTGCAGTGGTGAAATGCTCAACCGATCCTAAGAAGGATTTTAGAGATTCAATGATTGAGATGATTATGGAGAATGGTATCAACCACCCTGAAGAACTCAAAGAGCTTCTGGTTTGTTATCTAAGACTCAATAGCGATGAATATCATGATATGATCATCAATGTGTTTCAGCAGGTGCATAGTGATTTAAACTTTCACTAGTACTACTACAGAACAGTAATATAAAGAACCGTGCATGATTTAATCATATTATAATTTGTTAATAGTTTACGCTTTTTACGTTGCAACTTTCCCTAACTTCATGTTTTTTGGTTATAACCAAAACTGATAGCAATTATACAGACGAACATAGTTGTTGGAGTTTACCAAGTTTTAGTCGTTCATTAGTCCTTCACCAGCTAAGAACTCATGGACAACACCATCAACTTCTATGACGCTACATCCAGGCTTCTTGCTTACTCTTTCTGCTCTCATCTTTCTTCTCACATCCATAACCTCATCCCATCTTTCGTTAGAGGCATACAAGTTTGACATTTGAACATAACCTGAAGTCTCCCCTGGATTAAGTTCCAATAACCGATTAGCCAAACTCTCTGCTTGTTCCATTCGACCAAACCTTTTACAAGCACCAAGAAGAGATTCCAATAGCACCGAAGCCTCATCTTCCGGAACCTTGTTCACAAGTTCTTCCGCTTCCTCAAATCTCCCCATCCGACCAAGCAAATCCACCATACAACCATAATGTTCAATACTCGGCTCAACCCCGTAAACACTACTCATAGTTTCAAAGAGTTTGCGAGCTTGGTCTAACAAACCCACATGATTACAAGCAGACAGAACAGCGATAAAAGTGATACTATTCGGTTTAAAACCTTCATAAACCATCTCCGAAAAAATCTCCAACGCATCATTTCCAAGACCATGTACACTTAAACCCGAGATCATCGAGTTCCACGTACTCACATCTTTCTTCAAAGCCCCTCTAAACACCTCAACAGCCTTATCAATCCTCCCACACTTGGAATACATATCCACAAGCGCCGTCGCTAAAAACCCATCAATCTCAACCCCACGCTTATCAATAAAAACACGCACCCATTCACCTTGACTCAACGAACCAAGATTAGCACACGCAGACAAAACACTAACAAAAGTAAAACCATCAGGCTCCTCTTCACAACTCTCAAGCATCTCATTAAAAACCTCCAACGCTTCACCGTAAAACCCCGCACGCGCATAACCACTAACCATCGCATTCCAAGAAACCAAATCCTTAACCGGCATATCATCAAAAACCTCTCTAGCCTCCTCAACCAACCCCGCAGAGGCATAACACGAAACCATAAAATTCCAAGACTCAACATCCCTCTCCTCCATCTCATCAAAAACCCCCCTCGCTTCCTCCACCATACCCTCCTCCACATACGCACTCAACAACGAATTCCACGAAACCACATCTCTCACAGACATTTCATCGAGCACCTTCCGCGCAACCTCAAACCACCCGCTCCTCGCGTAAACATTAACCAAACAATTCTCCACAAACACATCCGAAACCAAGTTGCTTTTCAAGAAAAGCCCGTGAATCTGTCTCCCTTCCTCACCCCCGCGAAACGCAGCGCAGGCCTTCAACGCGAACGTGAAGCTGTACTTATCGGGCACCACGTGGCGGGAGAGGAGCATCTCTTGGAAAGCGGTTAGAGCGGTCTCCGGGGTGGGGCTGTTGGCGTAGGCTCTGATGAGGGAGTTGTGAGTGAAGGCGTTGGGGGTATCGATGCGGTTTAGGACTGAGTGGGCGTAAGAGACGGTTTTGGGTTGTGGGTTTGTGACGGCGAAGGAGATGAGTTTGCTGGCGGAGAATGTGTCGTGGATGAGACCGGTTTTGAGCATAAAGGCGTGTGCTTGTCGGATCTCTGAGAGGGATTTGGCTTTCTCTGTGAATGTCAGAATCGGTAGTGGTGTTGATGAGGAACAACACGTAGTGTTCATGTTTCTCTCTTAGTTGCTTCTTCTCTCTCCGCAATAACGAAACTAATAACTAATATTTAGGATCTATCTGAATGTCCAGAAAAATAGTTTACTGGTGAGTTGCACCTCCTCTTGAAGAATTAGTTTGGACTTCTCCATGAACGTTCAATCCATATGTTGTAGTTATCCTAATCATTATAGGATTAGGATAATCATCCCCTTTATTGTTGTAATCCTTATCTCCTAAGGAATATGCTTATTCTCTTGTATGTATATATATGTATGTGCACGTGATGAATAAGACAATGAGAGTTACAACCTTCTTCTTTATTCTTTAACACGTTATCAGCACGAGCCCTAACCCTAG